GATAGAGATTGTGCAGGGGCATCAAGATCCCAAGAGTTCGACATTCATAATTTGGTAATCTTGTGTGTCCTGTTGAAGCCTGTGGTTGTCCCTATCATGCACAGAAGAGCATAAAAATATAAAATTGTAAAACACGTGATCAAAGATGATAATAGAACAAAATGGCATCTAGAATCATAGGAGACGAAAACTGATCCTATCAGATCATGATCAATCAACGCTACTGGAGATTTTGAGAATAATTTAGATTTTTTCTTTCTTCTTTCCTTTTTTTTTTTTATTTTTTCCGGAGGAATAATCTAGATTGAGTTTTTTTGGAGCATATTTCTTCTGTTTGATGGTTCAGAGAAATGTCTATTTCCTCATATATAGAGACGCACTGGGGAATATGTACTTCCAACTTGAAGAAGAAGCATCAAATAGCAATAAAGAAATGATCTACAGGATCAGAGAGTGATTGAAAGTAAATCAATACTAACACTGGTAACTACTGGAAAGTAGGACGCAATCTTCAACAAGAACTCAGGTGTGATATATGCCACAACATACAGATGAAACGTATGGTTTGATCCTATGGCTAGTTAAAGAAGCAGTTCTAAAAATCAAAATGAAATGAAATATTGGCTAAAAGAAATAGCTTCAAGGAAATTTACCAGATCAACTAGCTGTAGGAACCTCTTAAACAATGTCTTCCCCCCTCTGTCATTTTTCTTTCTTTCCTTAGATTTCCATTTTATGCTTGAGCTGCAATGAAGAACTGTCTTTCTGAACTAACTTAAAAAAGGAACTTGCTTTCTAGAAGGTCCAGCCTCATGCTATATATGTTAAATGTGTCTTGGTGGCTTGAATTTTTTGGTAGGCTATTGCAATCGAACTTTCTTCCCTCTTGTATCCATGAAGGAAACTTTAACAAGAAAGCACAGGTATTGGGAACGTATGGTCGCCTCTCTGGTACTCAGTGCACACTGAACAACATTTCACAAGAGGAAATAGTAGAAGCATTTTGAACAAGTGAACTGCCAGGAAAACTAACTGTAAATATAAAAAAATCGCCAATCGGTTTGTCTACCATTCCATCCAAGCTAAATTCCTCACACAAGAAAAATACCGGTAGTACAGAAACTTTCCTTAAAAATCCAACTTAATTTATTGTTCTAACACTTCGATGAAGCACCAAGAAACAGTTCGAAGTTTAAACACTTCACAAAAAGTTTCAATTTCTCCAAATCAAACCTTTGAAGATGATGTTGTCTGGTAGCATGATCCATCACTTGGGAATATAATCTCTTAAGATTCCATTCATCTGCTCTAAGCTTGCATTCCTTCACCAATTCTCAGCAGCTCTTCGAACAGCTGCATTTGCCTCACGAATTTCCTCACCAGAGAACTTGTGCTCAATGATCCTAAGGGTCCAGGTTGCAGTACGCTAATCACAGTTTCCATCTCCTGCCCTAGCTGCCTTAAGAATTAACAACAATTACAGCTTTTAAGAAAAATTTATCAATTTAAGCTGCAAAAATAAGTAAAGTGCAATTCTTTTCTTTAAAAAAAAAAAAAAAGGAACTTTGAGACTCCTCTTTGTCTGACTATCCAAACAACAGAAATCATTTCATTCAACTTCGGAAAACCCAGAATCCATTAATCCAAACATAGAGAAAAAATGAATACCCAAAACCCAATTAAATAATCTTCAAATCATGGCATGTGGTCATGAAACGCTAGGAAACTGGAATGAACAAAGAATAAAGGGAAATGTGAATTGAAAATGTAAATTCGTAGTCAAGAAAAACTAAATACCTGAAAAGTTTTGGAACGGGCAAGGCATTGCCCAGTTGGGAGAAAGATGGGCGCATCCCAATCTCTATTCTGAGTACACAACTCAACACAGGTGAGTGAAAATGGAGAAGGGAAGAGAACTGAAAACTGAAAAGAGGAAGATGGAAGTGGGATTTTGCACGTTGCGTTGCAGGCAGAAATCCAGCAAAAACGATCCCGTTTCGTTTCCCCGACGTCCTTACGGAATTTATTTGTTTTTCTCTTCTGCGTGGTTCCCAGAAGAAAAATAACGATCCACGGCAACGATTTTTTTTTTTTTAAATGTAAATTAAAAGTTCCATGTAACCCTTTCAATGTAATTTAGTAGGGATGGATTTTATGGGAACAAAATTACTTAGTTTTGATATTTAATTAGTTTATAATTTTTAGGAGCAGACACTCGATTCTGATTATTATATTGTTTATAAATTTGTAATAAGTAATGTTCTTATTAAAATTAAATTAACTTATCAAGTATTGAAATAAAAAATAAAAATAAAAATAAAAAAACCTTATCAAGTATTGAAAAAGCTAAGATAAAAATCCTTAAAAAAAAAAAAAAAACAAACTTCTACAAGGAAGAAGCAAACCCTTATAAGAGATGAAAGAACTTTCATTTTTAATCATCTACATTAATAAAAAATTATTTCCCAGTTTTTCTTTACTTTGAAGAGATGGAGAATCGAGTTCATAATTTATCAAAAGGAAAAAGAATCATGGCAAATACAGGTTCCTTTTGGTGAAGTGAAGAGTTCGTGTAACCTAAGAAAAAAAGAGTAATGACTGTTTAACATGACTAGGATAAGAACTCTGTAGATTAAATAGCGTAGCAGCATATAAAGAACCAAATAGAGAGATGAGAGGTAGAGAGAGAAAGAGAGAGAGAGGGCCGAGACAGAGAACACAAAGTAAACGAATAGCACAGCGGTATGAGAGTTTCAATCCCTGGGATAGGGGGCAGTTCCGACTGGAAGTGGGTGTCTATGACAGAAGAATCTACAATCAAGCGATTCCTTTCTTCTTCACTAACTTCCCAGAGGAGTGGTCGTTTGAACAGATGTGGCAAACCTTCAACAGGTTAGGCTTAGGAAGGGTACTGGAGATTGATTGCCCGAAGAAGAAGGACAGATTTGGCAAAAGATTCGGGTTTGTTCGATTTTTGGATGTGAAGAATGAAGGTGAATTGGAAAGAAGATTAAATAATGTAAGGATCATGGACAATGTACTACAAGAAAACAAACCGAGGTTCTCGAAGTGGGATGGCCAAGTGAAGGAGGACTCTAGCAACCAATCTATGTCTCAAAGCTGGACTCAACATGACATTAACCGCAGAATCAAAAAGGCCATCATATGCTGAAGTGGTACTAGGACAAAGCAGAAGAAAGTATGAAAGGCCTATGGCCAGAAGACGGGAGGAAGGACCAACAAGAAAGATGGGAGGCAATGAGACCGACATGCATGGGCGTCAACAATGGCAATGGAAACCAAAACACCACTACCATCAATGGTCTGGCATGGAGATCAACATTGACAAGGACGAGTATGCATGGTTGGAAAAATGTTATGTAGGTACTGTGCATTCAGTGAGCTTGATACCAAATCTGCAAGAGAAATTCTTCATGGAGGGGGTTTTCTTTTGCAATATTAGACCAATGGGAGGTAGATTAGTACTGCTAGAAGGCAAGGACTATGAGGATTTGAAGGAGCTTGTTGACACTGGAAAAGACTGGATGGGGCAATGGTTCGAGGATGTGAAGCCTTGGTCCCCTGCGACGGTAGCTACAGAGAGATTTGCATGGATCTGGTGTCAGGGACTTCCAGCACATGCTTGGAAGCTGGAAACCTTCCAAACTTTTAGAAATCTATGGGGAAACTTTATTACTTTAGATGATAGTACAAGCTACAAGAGGAGATTCGATGCCGCCTGTTTCCTAATCACCACACCATCCCCAGATTCTATCTTTAGATCCTTCACGACTAAGATTAATGGCAAGTTTTTTATATTAAAGTTCACAGAAGAGGAGTCAACTAACAGCCTCTTCACCATGAGATCCGATAGAGTAATTCATGCTCCCAGTGATGTGGATGATGAGAAAAGTTGCTCTTTAGAAAGCTCAACTGCTGGTGATCTTGACCTGGAGGTGGATATGATGGAGCAAGCTAAGCTACAGTCCGTTGAGGGTGAAGGCGACGGAGCTGAGGCCATCTCGGAGGATGACGTGGTGATGCTGAATGCCGTCGATGTAAATGGCGCTAAGGTGATATCTCGAGATGATGAAGTGGCTAGCTACTGTGTCGAACCGAACTGCTCAACAAAAATGGGAGTTGAAATAGTTAGAACAGGTACTGAGGTAGTTGAAGAGTCAAAGGATATGGGCGAAAATCTGAATGGGCCTCATGATTCAAATTCAAATGCATCAAGGCTAGGAGAAGCAAAGAAGGTAGGGGTTCACTTAGAAACACCAGTCAACATAGCTGAACAAGGGGACGTTGGGAATACCAATCAAATGAGCAAAAATGTAGCTGTGGACAGCTATGACATGTCCAATCAAAATAATAATATTGAAGTAAGCGGAATGGGCTGTGGGGTTGGAAGGCAAGTTAGGTCTCTTAGAACCGGAATGGGCTTAAAAATGGTCATAGGTCCAAATTGTAAGGCTGAAATAGGCTTACATGGGACATCAATTGCAGATCCAATGGAGCAAAGCACGAAGAACGATAGGAAATCCAAATTAAAGAACAGTGAGTCTGCCTCTTGTTTCTAGGATGATATGGAAAGTGACTCAGGGAACAACTTAAACTGGATGAAAAGGAGTGACATGTGCGGGAGAAGGAAGAGTAAGCGAAGGGCAAAATCATGCGCTTCGGTGTACAGAAAAACTGGGGGATTGGAGGGATTCTTGATTCAATATAAGAGGAAAGGGCAAAGGAAAGACTCCTTAAAGTGCTCGAAGCAGATTCTATTCGAAAATAACCCGAAGAAATTGGTTGCAGATGAATCGATAAATGATAGCAACATTCAAAATTGCAACAAAAGCTTTAAACAGAGGAGCAGCACACGAAACATGGAGGCTCTTGGTCCCGGGCAAAAGAGTTAGGAGTGATAGCACGTGGAGAGGAGAATCAGATTATGCAGAAATTGAACGAGATGGAAAGCCGAGACAGGGGAAGGTGAAGGAACGAAGAGGAGAAGAAATCTGAGAAAGATGACCAAGTGATGCCTCATTTCCCATGATTTTACTATCAATTAATATTAGAGGACTAGGTGGGATAGGAAAAAAAAAGGGAGATTCGGGATTTGGTGGTTAAACAGAAGGTACATGTTTTGCTAATTCAAGAAACCAAAATGGAGAAAGTGGATAATCGCCTTTGTAGGATGGTTTGGGATTCTGATAATTTTGAGTGGGTTGCTCAGTCTACTAGTGGTGCATTATGAGGTATACTAATAATATAGAACTCTAGTGTCTTCAAAAAGATTAGTAGTTTTGAAGGTGTAGGATTTTTGGGAGTCTTTGGGCTGTGGGGAGATGATAACACCCCATGTTATTTTGTTAATGTATATTCCTCATGCGATCTGGTTCAAAAGAGATGCTTGTGGGAGAATTTATCAAAATTGGTTACTTCAAAAAAAGGGAACTGGTGTATAGCTGGAGACTTTAATGCCATTCGAAACCTCCAAGAAAGGAAGGGAGGCAGAAGTGTGAGGCGTGAGCTCAAGGAGTTCAATGACTTTATTGAGATGAGCAGTTTGGTGGAGCTTCCTATGATTGGGAGGAAATTTACTTGGTACCAGCCAAATGGCCAAAGCATGAGTCGCTTGGATAGGTTTCTGTTTTCTAGTGAATGGATGCTTAATTGGTCCGACTTGAAGCAGTGCGGGTAGTTAGGTCATTGTCGGATCATTGCCCAGCCATGGTGAAAAATGAAGCACGTAATTGGGGACCAAAACCATTCAAACTATTTAATATGTGGCTGCAAAATCCTTCATTTAGAGAATTGGTAGCAAATCAGTGGAACAACTCAGATATCCGAGGATGGGGAGGTTTTATGGTAAAGGAGAAACTAAAGCGGCTGAAAAACTGTTTGAAGGATTGGACACGAAATCAGGTGCAGGGAGTGGATAAACATATTGAGGAGGCAAAAGCTGAAATTGCAACACTAGATGGTAAAGGGGAATCACAGCAGCTAAGCGAGGAGGAATGTCTCCGTAGAAGAGAAATGATGATATGCCTATGGGAAAATATTCAAATCAAAGAGGATATGACAAAGCAAAAGTCAAGGAAGGCATGGATGAAAGCCGGGGATGCAAACACAAGTTATTTCCACCAGTGCATAAAAGGTAGATGGCGCAGGAGCAAGATAAACTCAATATCAATCTAAGGAAAGGTTTTTGAGGGAGTCAACGAGTTGAAACAAGGAGTGGCAAAATACTTCATGAGCTTATTCACAGAGGAAGGTTGGAATCGGCCTATTCTAGATGGTGTCGACTTCAAGAAAATTTCAAAAGCCGAGAGAAACTTCTTAACTGAACCTTTTCTTGAAACAGAAGTTAAAGATGCTGTATGGAATTGTGATGGTGCAAAAGCCCCAGGTCCAGATGGTTTTACTTTCAGGTTTTTGAAAACATAATGGGATGTGGTTAAACGCAACATATTGAAGTTTCTTACTGACTTTCATAGCAACAACAAGTTGGTGAGAGGATCCAATTCATCTTTTTTGGTGTTGATACCTAAGAAGGAGAATCCTCAAAGCATCGAAGAGTACAGGCCAATATCCTTAATTGGAATTATGTATAAAATTCTTGCTAAAATCCTTGCAAATAGATTACGTAGGGTGATGGATGGGATTATAGGCGAACAACAATCAGCTTTTATCGAAGGCAGACAGTTGGTTGATGGAGTCGTCATTGCAAACGAGGCTATTGAGGAGATTAAGAGGAAAAAATTGAGTTGCTTCCTTCTCAAAGCTGACTTTGAAAAAGCCTATGATAATGTCAGCTGAGAGTTTCTGGATTATATGCTGGAAAGGATGAATTTTGGGTCTGTTTGGAGGGGGTGGATCTGCCAGTGCTTGCAAACTAACTCAATCTCAGTATTGCTCAATGGTAGCCCAACAAAGGAGTTTGTCATGAGTAGAGGATTATGGCAAGGGGACCCACTAGCTCCTTTTTTGTTTTTAATTGTTGCGGAAGGCCTCAATGGTATCATATCATCGGCAGTTGCGAAAGACCTCTTCAAAGGGGTCCCAATTGGAGGAGGGGGCTTTTGCATCTCCCATTTGCAGTTCACAGATGACACCCTATTAATAGGGAGAGCAACGGAAGATAATATCTGGACAACAAAATGCATTTTGAGGGCTTTTGAGTTGGTGTCCGAGCTGAAAATTAACTATGGGAAAAGCTCACTTATCAGCATAAATACAGGTAACCTATGGGAAAGGGATATGGCATGTCTGTTAAATTGTAAAGTGGGGTCCTTGCCATGTAAGTACCTGGGTATTCCTTTGGGAGTGGATCCTAGAAGAGTGAATACATGGAAGCCACTAATCGACACTTTCAAAAGAAAATTATCTTCTTTGAGGGGTCGATACCTATCCTTTGGTGGTAGAATAACTCTTATAAACTCTGTGTTGTGCAGTCTACCGGTGTTCTTAATGTCTTTCTATCTCCTTCCAAAAAGCGTTATTGGTGAGTTAGATAAAATTAGGAGAAGATTTCTTTGGGGGGGGACAACAGAGACAAAGAAGGTTGCTTGGGTTGCGTGGGAGAAGGTTCGCCTAAGTAAGCTCAATGGGGGGTTGGGTATAAAGAATTTATTGTGCTTTAATATGTCATTACTGGGAAAATGGTGGGGAAGATTGATTATCGAGAAGGGGGGATTGTGGAGGAGAGTTTTATCTGACATTTATGGGAGTGATGAGGGGAATTGGTTATCTTACTTAAGGGAGGGTAGATGTGTAGGATCAAAATGGTGGAGGGATGTTTGCAAGATAGATGAAGGGATGGGTATTAAAAAGGATTGGCTGAGTTTGGGTTTTGGTGTGGATTTGGGGGATGGCGAAAAGGTTAAGTTCTGGATTGATGTGTGGGTAGAAGGGTATGCTCTATCTAACAAATTCCCTCGTTTATTCCTACTAGCTACAGATCAGAATTGCAGTGTCAAAGACATGGGATCCTGGTCGAAGGATTGCTGGCAATGGAAATTCTCCTGGAAACGCCCACTTCATTCATGGGAGGAGGACATTGAAAAAGAGTTGGTTAAGATGTTGAAATTAAGAGCTCCATCACAGAACAAGGAAGATCATGGCAATGGCACCTGGAAATTTCAGGGACCTACACAACAAAATCAGCTTACTCATGGATCCTTAAGGGAGAACCAAAGCCAGCAACTGACTTCATAAGGGTGTGGAAAGCCCCCATTCCACCTAAAGTAAGTGCATTTTGCTGGCAATTGCTTAACAAGAAAATCCCTACAAAAGATAACCTTTCAATCCGAGGAATTTGTAATGCAAACTCTAATTTAAATTGCTACTAGTGTGATTCTTCAATGGAGACGCCCAATCATATTTTTGCTCAATGCAATGTGGCTTTTAGCTTATGGATGAAATGCTACAAGTGGTGGGGCGTGCAATATGTCCTAGATAATTCATGTTTAATGTTTTTCGAGCAACATAAATGGCTTGGAGGTCCAAAAATACTTGATAGGGGATGGAACATTATCTGGTTCGCAGTAATATGGACACTGTGGCTGGGCAGGAACGAAAAGATTTTCCAAATGAAGGAGACAAAGCTCAACAGATTCTTTGAGCTAGTTTAAATTCGATCTTTCTTCTGGGTAACGAACATTCAAGGTATGGAAGGGTTCTCTTTATCTGAATGGTGCGAGAATCCAACCAAATGTCTTAAGAATAACCTCGTCCGGAAAGATAGTGTTTGAACTAGTCTTTTTGTTTTAACTAGTCTTCTTGGAAAGTTGGTTTTATTTTCTTTGTTGGGTGTTCTACCCTCGCTGCTTTAATGTTGCTAGTTTTTTAAGCAACAAGTTGGTTTTTGTATACACGGGTTTGAGTACCCCTTGTACTCATCAAATAAATATATTAATATTCTTTTGCCTTTCAAAAAAAAATCATCTACATTAATAATTGAGGGGGAGAGAGGCAGAGGTGGTTAAGGAGAAAATGAAAAGAATAAAAAGGAAAAAATCAAACTGAGAGAAGAAAGGGGTGGCTAAGGTTTGAAGAAAAGACCTTTAAATGAAGAGATAATACTTAATATTATAAATTTATTTTTTATTAAATAATTTAAATTGTATAATTCAATTTAATTAGTTAATACTACACAATACTTATTTGTAATCATGATTTTACCATTTTGCAATGATTAAATTTTGAGAAGTTGTTCCTCTTTCTTTAGTTATTATGGGCTTAAATTATTTTGTTGGACCATAATATTGGGCCGCAAGCTAAGATTTGCAAAATTCCTCTTTCACAACCCATTTTCTAAGATCTTTCATTAGAAAACAAAAAAATTTTTCTCCTTGCATGTAGGGATGGCAACGAGTCCCCACAACGGTGGGGACTCCCTCCCATCCCCATCCTCGTAAATGACGGATACGGGGATTCCCACGCGGATTTTTGGCGAAGGGTCAAAAATAACCTCCGTCCCCATACCCACGGAGAATGATAGGTTCCTACGGCTATTCGGATTCCTCGCCAAATAAAACTATCATCTATTTCGATACTCTAAATCATAAGCACTAAAGCACAAAAACTGTAGCTTCAAAAACTATAGCTAATTGATACCTGGAGGTTGGAGTTGGAAAGCTTGAGAATCGGAGGTGGAGCTGCAAAGGAAGAAGGACGACCTAAGTTGAAGGTGAGCGGTGACCCGTGAGTGAAGTGGAGGCAACTCAAGCAATAGCTAGTCACTGTTGATTTCAAGGGTAGTGACAACACGGTGAGAGCTTGAAGGTGAGGACTGAGGAGGATGACCCAGCCTTGGAGCTGGAGGTGAGTGGTGAGCGGTGAATATTGTAGTGGTTGCACAGCACAATGGGTAGTGAAGACACGGTGAGATCTTGATCTTGAAAGGAATCATAAGTGAGATGAGGATAAAGGATTGAGCAAACAAAAACATTGCTATGGTTGCATAGCACAATGGATAGTGATGACACGGTGAGATCTAGATCTTGAAGGGAATCACAGATGAGATGAGGAGTTGAGGATAGAGGATTGAGCAAACAGAAAGAGTTACAGTGCAGAGCAAAAAAAGAGACTGGAGACTAGAGGACTGAAGAATCACAAGTGGTAAGCAAATCTGAAATCTTCAGCTTTGGATAGTCCTTCTAGGATTATCAATTTAATTAGGCTGGGCAATTAGGAGGTCTAAGAAGATTGGATTCACAAAAAGAATGGGCTGGGTAACACAATTTGGGTTTGGAAAATTGAAAAAAAAAAAAAAAAAGGTTGTGAAATTTAGGTTATATTGGTATTGGGTTACCTAATTAAAATGGGTAAATAAAAATTAATTATTAATATATTTAAAATATATAAATAAATTTATATATTTTTTATTTTATTTGATTCTCCACCAGGCCCACGGAATGGAAGAAATTCTCTGTCCTTTCAGCTTACATTTGAATAATTATTGTCAAATTATAGATTTATATAGTTTTAGTTACTTGCATGGCTGTGTGATTGAATTGTTCTTTTCTCTTTTTATTACATATGGTTTATGTCCTGATTCATAGTTTCCGTTTCCTCCACAATTTCGTGTCCTTTGATTTTAGGGTTGCTCAAATGGCTGATGATCAGGAAACAGCTGGCAAACAATCAGAACCTACTTTGTCAAATCCATCTCAAAAACAGCGAACTCGTGATGAAGTGCTATCTAGGCACAGGTAAGGTGTCCTCAAGTCTATGTTATCAGCTACTCATTCCTTCATTTTATTGATGGCTTTGGACAGTTAAGCAACTAGGGCATCTTAATGTTTGATTAAATTTTTAATTCGGTTTGCTATAATGTTGTGGTTGTGCTAGAGAAAAGAGGGTTCAATATGAAGAAAAAATAAGGCTGAGCTTTTCTTCTAAAACCTTGATAATTTCCCTTGCTGATATTTGAGACAAGCAATTTGAATAATATTGTCTGCCCTGAATTAATTCAGTTGAATGCTTGATCTGCTTGTTAATATGAAGCTTGCATCATGTTTGCTCTCTAGTGCCTAACTTCTTTATTTACTTATTTAATGATTTTTTTTTTTTCACGTTTCTTCAAACCTCCTATTACAGATCATAAGACTTTAATGTTGCTATCCTTCAATGACATTATTTCTATGCAGGAAAGAGGTATCTAATCTGCAGAAGAAGGAAATTGAAATGAAGAAGGCAGCAGCAAAGGGTAGCAAAGCTGAGCAGAAGGCAAAAAAGAAGCAGGTTGAGGAAGAGATCTCTCAACTCTCTGCTAAGCTTAAAGAAAAGCATGCCCAAGAGCTTGCTTCATTTGGATACAGCACTAGTAATGAAAATGAGAAAAACAGTCTTGATGACCTGGTGAAGACCATTGCTGGGGTTTCTGTTGCCAGTCAACCTGACCATTCAAAGCCCAGCAAGAGTGCAAAGAGACGAGAGAAAAGAGCTCAGCAAGAAGCTGCAAGAGAGCAAAGAATTCAAGAAGAGCAGAGCAGCATTGTCAGTGAGAGAATGATTAAAGATGAGAAATTGGTGAAAAAACTTGAGCCCGTTAGATTGACGATCAACGAAATAAAGCCAGATGGACATCGCCTCTACCGAGCTGTTGAAGATCAACTGGCACTTCTGTCAGATGGTTCTTCTCCTTATACATACCAAGAGCTGCGTGAACTGGTGGCTGCTTATATGAGGAAAAACATATCTGATTTCCTTCCCTTTTTCCTGGCCGAGAATTTGGAAGACGAAGATGCTGGAAACTCACCAGCAGAGAGATTTGAGCATTACTGTAAAGAGGTGGAGTCAACAGCTGCTTGGGGAGGACATTTAGAGCTGGAAGCTTTAACTCGCAGCCTAAGAAAACATATCATGATATTTTCAGGATCCTTCCCTGATGTGGAGATGGGAAAGGAATACAAAGCTGAAGGAGGGTCTTCTTCATTCGAAGGTTCTGTTATGTTATCATACCATAGGCATGCCTTTGGTCTTGGCGAGCACTATAATTCTGTGGTCCCAAATGTGATCGGATAGGTAACTTCAAATCACGTGCGGTAGATTCCTATCTATATCGATGTTTACTTTATTATGATCTCTTAAGAGAATAAGTGACAAACTCTGGGTTAAATTACAAAACTACGCATGTGATTGATGCTAGTTGATTCATTATTTATGTTTATCTCCTTGTGGTTGGTATTGTTCAAACTAATGGATCGGGGATTGACATTGCAAAGTTTTTGCAACAAATGGTCAAATTACAAACGTTTATCTAATTCTTCTTTCTCCTGTGCTCAAGCTTTGCGAAGATGGCATGATTTCGATATGAAATCTTTTAAGATCTTGGCTGTCTTTTTATCATATAAGGGTGTGGTCCTCTGGCACGTGGATATGAACCAAAAATTTGTAAAATGCAAAAGCTATCTGAGGACCGAAGACAGAACATGAAGCAGAATATGATAATGTGAAAATGATAGTCCCTTGCTAAAGCCAGAAACAAAAGAACATGTGTTGCAACATGATGTGGAACAGTGAAGTGCGTGGTGGACGCGGTGAAATGCGTGGTGGACATGGTACAGAGCAAGAGGGGCATCCTCTTGATCCAATTTGGTGACATTGATTGGATTAAAATGATGGTCAATTTTCATGAAATAGATTCGGGGGAATAACTTTGTCTTTGTCCAGAAGGGTGAAGTCCAGAATTCCAGATAACAATGTTCCACAGAATTATGCTACTTTGCAACTAGAAAAACCACATTGCAGAATGCAGATCGATGTTAGCCTTCTAAACTTTTCTTCTCATACAAGAGAAAAGAAAGATAAGAAAATTTGTAGAAGCAGCTATTTAGGAACATCATGTAAATCCACATCTCTGTGAATTGTGATGCTGAGATCCAACACCGTGATCTTTAGAGATTCATCCACCGAAGTTGATATTCTCTCACAGACACTAGTACATCATCTCAACTCAATCTGTGTCTTTTGTAAGGGAGAAAAAATCAAGAAAAATGTGAACATATCATGAAAAATATGATATTAAAGGGCCTTTAAAGATCATCTGCCCCCACCTTATTGATTAGGAATTCAATCTTTTAGTAATGCTACAAAAAATAATATCATTTTTGAATCTTCTAGTTTTCATACGGATGACTTGTGTTTTTATTTTCTTATTTATATTTTTTTAAGAATTTAAACGTCTAATCTTAACCTATAAATCAAGATATTTTTATATTAGTGAATACTTACTTAACTAAACTCTTATCAATGAATAACTTGACTTTAACCTAATCAAGAAGTGGATATAAATAGGTTGCACACAAACTTACCCAAGTCATGATCCTAAGTAAATGACACTTGGTTCTATTTGGGCAGGTAAGGCTCACAAAAAGAGCATAAATATGAAGCCATCTTCCATCTATAAACCAGCTCCAAAATTAGTTCTATTTGAAGCCGGTTTATATATGAAAGATGACTCCATACTTATCCTCTTAATTTTATTGAGAACCTTACCTGCCGATTTGTCCTCCGATCCATGGCTTACTCAAGACTCAAGACATATTACATCGAAAGCCTCACAGTTATGCGCAGAAACATGATGTTATCATCAATAGAGGAAAAGGAGATTGCAATGGATGATATATACCAATCACCAATGATTCAAATTCGTGGGAGAGGAAGTTTTCTTAGGGATAATAAAGTGACATCTCATTATTACTTTATTTTTCTATATATCAATGTGTGATCAATTCTAATTTTAAGAATTTTTTTTTCCTAGAAGGCATATATTCTAAATTTTTAATAAAAAAATATTGTATAATATATAGTACATTAAATTGCATGATTTAAACTATTGAATGGAGGGCAAGCCTTTAGATATTGGGGTTGTTTTCATATCCAATAATCATATTTTGTAATCATATTTTGCAAAAGAGGAATATAATTTTTAATAAGGAATATTATTAGTACACATTTTGTTTGATACATTTTCTTTTCTTTATTTGGTTCAGTTATTAAAAATATAATATAAATATAGTTAATTTATCCAATTTATGCATTTTATATGCATAATTATGTCTTTAATTTTAGATCAAAAAATAATAATTTTTTAATAAATATATTGTATAATATATTAAATTAAAGTATGTATCAATTGGATTCCATAAAATACTCAGAACAAGGTTAGTATTACACATTAGCCCAATAGATATAACATTTAAAGCTTATGAATTAAGTCTGTTTCATGAGTTCTTGCTGGCCTTTGGTCTCCTTCATGTTAAGGCAATGGCAATCCCAAACAATAAAATGATCATATCATATCATCAGCTTACGCGTACAATGTGATGAAGTACACCAATATTTCCATGCAAATTCTCATTTCTAGAAACCGAAATCAATTTCAAACTTTTAGCTTTATCATATGTAAAAGAGGTTTTTACTTGATAATATTTTTATAATGAACAGAAAGCGTGATACAATAATTCTGCCTTTCCGATTAGATTTACCAATCTCCTCTCAATATATACATATATACATATATATATTAATATATATAAATTAATTCCTATCAATCTTAACTCCCAAAAACAATTGAAATCTCAATTAATATTTAGAAACTGAAATTTCATTTTATTAAATGTTGATATTTAAATTTTAAAACTAATTATATATTCTAATATAATCAAAATCTAAATATAAAGTGAAATGAGATAAGAGATGAGAGATGAGATGTGAGATGTGAGATGAGAGATGATTATCTCCAAATGTGTAACCAAGATAAAATAATATCTAAATATAAATATTAATATTTAATAAGATAATTTTTTAAAT